TATGCTTGTAAGAGGTGACTAACGGAATCGGGTGGTCAGGCTCACTGACTTGTTTGATGCATGTCATCGTATCCCAATTGCGTGGATTGATGCTCATGATGTCAATCACTAGATTGTCTAGTCCAGACTCGATTATTTACAGACCGCCGTCATATAGCTGGAATATTGCTGAGTGTGGCGTTAAACAACAAATAAACAAACAGTATTTCAGTTATATAACATCATGTCAGCTCGATGTGGGAGGAAAGCTAGAAGTGATGCAGGATTCGAACCCCGACCAAGGGATGCTGGTACGCCAAAGAAATGCAACTCGCGGAAAGGTAGATAAATGAAGGCAATGGTTGGAGGGAACTGAAAGTTCTAAGTATTAAAAATGTAAAATATATCCGAAGTCAAGTAATTAAAAACATATCTCATCGGGTGTGCGGCATATCCAGTGTATAACAGATTCGGTAAATATCATATGTAGTGAAACCCGTATTCAGTGTATAGCACATGTAGTGTAGAGCATATCCAGTATAAAACTGAATATCTAGTATAAAATACATTCATCACATAACGGATCCCTGGGACAGATAACGGCTGTCTCTGATTATCTGTAGAAAGTAGTGTGTAGCATATCCAGTATAAAACTGAATATGAAGTATAAAACACATTCAATACATAACGGATCCCTGGGACAGATAACGGCTGTCTCTGATTATCTGTAGAAAGTAGTGTATAGCATATCCAGTATAAAACTGAATATCAAGTATAAAACACATTCAATACATAACGGATCCCTGGGACAGATAACGGCTGTCTCTGATTATCTGTAGAAAGTAGTGTATAGCATATCCAGTATAAAACTGAATATCAAGTATAAAACACATTCAATACATAACGGATCCCTGGGACAGATAACGGCTGTCTCTGATTATCTGTAGAAAGTAGTGTATAGCATATCCAGTATAAAACTGAATATCAAGTATAAAACACATTCAATACATAACGGATCCCTGGGACAGATAACGGCTGTCTCTGATTATCTGTAGAAAGTAGTGCATAGCATATCCAGTATAAAACTGAATATCAAGTATAAAACACATTCAATACATAACGGATCCCTGGGACAGATAACGGCTGTCTCTGATTATCTGTAGAAAGTAGTGAAAAGCATATCCAGTATAAAACTGAATATCAAGTATAAAACACATTCAATACATAACGGATCCCTGGGACAGATAACGGCTGTCTCTGATTATCTGTAGAAAGTAGTGCATAGCATATCCAGTATAAAACTGAATATCAAGTATAAAACACATTCAATACATAACACATCCCTAGGACAGATAACGAATGTCTCTGATTATCTGTAGAAAGTAGTGTATAGCATATCCAGTATAAAACTGAATATCAAGTATAAAACACATTCAATACATAACGGATCCCTGGGACAGATAACGAATGTCTCTGATTATCTGTAGAACAGTTTTCGTTTTTGTAAATTAACTAAGCTCTAAAGCTTTAAAACTGCTGGGCGAAAGAAAGAAATGACCTAAAAACCGGATTTGACCAAATAAATTCAAACGTTATCAAAAGACTGAAAACACAAAACACAATGATACCGGTTACTATCAAATTCTTCACCATCAAATAACAATTTCGTGTTTGTTATATTTTTAGCAACCATCAAACATTGGTGTATACTTTCGTTTGTCCGCCAGTTTATTTCGAAATATTTTCTTTGGAACAGATTTACGATCAACGCGGCGTATTCATACATGTTGCCTCCGATCCAGATCCTTATTATTGATGTATGAGGGAATTGTCTCCCTCATCATCTAGTCACCCACCGCAATACTTGGCCGGCTTTATACCCACTACCTTTCTCCGGGATATCCAGGTTAATCCACGATATCCATATCAATCTACGATGCTCCTTTTAATCCACTATGTCAGTGTTAATCCACGCTTTCCATATTAATCTACGATGTTCCTTTAAATCCACTATGTCAATGTTAATCTACGCTTTCCATATTAATCTACGATGTTCCTTTTAATCCACTATGTCAATGTTAATCCACGACATCCATTTTAATCTACGATGTTCTTTTTAATCCACTATGTCAATGTTAATCCACGACATCCATATTAATCTACGATGTTCTTTTTAATCCACTATGTCAATGTGAATCCACGATATCCATATGAATCTACGATGTTCCTTTTAATCCACTATGTCAATGTTAATCCACGCTTTCCATATTAATCTGCAGTGTTGCTTTTAATCCACTCTCTCAATGTTAATCCACGATATCCATATTAATCTACGATGTTCTTTTTAATGAACTATGTCAATGTTAATCCACGATATCCATATTAATCTACGATGTTCCTTTTAATCCACTTTGTCAATGTTAATCCACGACATCAATATTAATCTACGATGTTCTTTTTAATCCACTATGTCTATGTGAATCCACGATATCCATATTAATCTACGATGTTCCTTTTAATCCGCTATGTCAATGTTAATCCACGCTTTCCATATTAATCTACGATGTTCTTTTTAATCAACTATGTCAATGTTAATCCACGATATCCATATTAATCTACGATGTTCCTTTTAATCCACTTTGTCAATGTTAATCCACGATATCCATATTAATCTACGATGTTCTTTTTAATCCACTATGTCTATGTTAATCCACGATATCCATATTAATCTACGTTGTTCCTTTTGATCCACTATGTCAATGCTAATCCACGATATCCATATTAATCTACGGTATTCCTTTTAATCCACTATGTCAATGTTAACCCACGAAATCCATATTAATCCACAATGTCCATTTTAACCCACGAAATCCATATTAATCCACAATGTCCATGTTATCCAAGACGGCCATGTTAACTCGCGATATCCATTTTAATCCATGTTAATAATCCACGGTTACAATATTAAGCCACGCTTGAGGAACGTTGTAAATACATGCCCAGGAATTACCAGTAGATTTTTCTTATATCCAGGTTGACTAAAATACACATTGTACACAACACATTTACGCATATATTTGCATATTAGTCACTCGTTGTAAAAGAAGTGAGTGAGTGAGTGAGTATGGTTTTACGCAGCTTTTAGCAATATTACAGCAATATCACGGCGGGGGACACCAGAAATGGGCTTCACACATTGTACCCATGTCGGTAATCGAACCCGGGTCTTCGGCGTGACGAGCGAACGTTTAAAAGAAGACCTCATATGTTATGATTAAGGTGGTTGGCCGTTGTTGGGCTGGGGGTGTGCTTTTGGGGGGTGCTATTTGGCGAGAATGTTAAAGTATGTTCCTAATGAAACCACAATGTCATTGAGGTAGACTTAAAGTTGTTCCGACAGAGAGTCTTTTTATAATCGAGAGAAATAACATGATATATAGTACAGGTGATACAGTGATTTCATATTTTCACATAAATAAAATATTTCATCATTATATTATAAACTGAGGGGCAAAAGAAAGAATAGAGAGTTTTGGTATGTTATTGAAAATTGAAAGAACTGTTGTTACAATTGATTATGTCTTTTAACCATCTCTCTCTCCTGCAACAGTAAGAAGTAATCTGTGGCTGGGTAATTCTTTGTAAAAAAATATATATGTTCAATGAAATGTGTAACCACATGCCCCCTACCATGTTTGAAATGTTGTACATTTGTGCCGAAAAAAAGGCAAATCTTTTTAAAGGTCAAGATGTATTAGATACCAATCAGCAGTTGCGTTTTATGCGATTTTAAAAAAACACACAACCCTTTTAAATCAAATTATATTTTTGAAAATAAAACCATATAGACATGTTTTGGTGCTGACTAAGCGACAGTATAGTTCATTCTTTGGATATGATATCGCTCACATAAGATATTTTTAATTGAAAATCAAACATATGTTATTATCAACTGAGTGGTACGGTTTCTTGTGTTCCTCAGTTGACAAGAACACGTTTATTATCTTAAGATAGATGATGAGAGTGTTTACCAGACACAAATCACCATCACGACAATGTCAAGTGGTAATAGGATCTCCAACAAAAGAAAATACAAGTTTGTGTTTTTACTGCTTCCCTGACCCAGCACGAGATTTCAAAGCCCAGACCTCGACTCTCAAAGCGACGATAACGGCTGCATAAACAAGGTTTCTCGGGTGAGAAGTAGCTAAAGGAATTTTTTTTATTATATAAAAAAAAAAAAGAGGTCGAGGAAGGAACGCTTTTTTTCACAAGTATATCAAGAAGCAACTTGACACATGTTAAACTCGGCTCTTTGATCCATATAGTATTTATGGATGTAAGTGCCTTTTATAGCCTATAAGTGGTTTCCCAACTGAAGCTAGCACGCGCAGATAACAGTAAAGCACTACACTCATGTCTATTCGGATTGTAAACATTTTACAGGAAGAAGAAAGGCCCGGGTCGAACGTGCACACGATCGCAGAATAATATTTCGTTCACTGGTTCAATATATTTTAGTTAATTTCTCCGAAAGGAGAAGTGGGGCATATATTTCACAACACATTTCTGGGGACATTCAACATGCAGACAATTATTTTTAACCCCCTAAAATGTAAAATAAAAAATTCCACAACTGCCGGGTAGCAGAAAGTATACAGTACACTTGGAAATTCACACTTCACTCTGCTCAGTACTGCATACTGTGAAATTGTGATCCCAATCTCCGTGAGACGTCATGTGAACGTCACCTGTTGTGAAATCTTCATTGATATGATGCATGTAATATCATCTATGATACCCGTATCACATACATCCCCATCGTATAACCATTTTAAAATAAAATTCATTTAAGCCACCTTCAAATATGGGTGTACGCGCTCTTTTGTCCGGTGGTTTATATATAGCGTGGTGCGAGATCTCGCCGCTGATACTACATAATTACACACGATGACGATTACGGAAAAAATTCTAAAGCAGCTAATTTGGTATGATGTATTGTGATCACGCACTGGCGCGTTCATCTTATGTTCTACGTTCGTACCGGATGCTATAGGTAAGATCAGGAGAGTCAACAAAACACATTACAAGCCTTGGCTGGGATTTTACCGTGGAAGTGTCACCGTTGAACATATTTCCGGAAAGTGCCGAAGGCGACCGAAGAGTGACAGGTTTGAGTTGAAGTTAGGTCATGGTGTCCCCAGGTCAATAACTGGAAAGCTCTGCAGGTAGTATAACAGGCAGCTGTCAGGACCGCTGCTCCACAACAGACGACGCAACAAGAAAACAACACACGCTATTTCACGTTGATCATAATGAACTTGAAGAAGACCAAGGTATATAAACTGATAGCGACTGGAAACAAGGATGCAGTTATTAAGGGGATGTACGACTACCTGAAGAGCGGCAAGTCTCCCAACACTCGGGACAGCGAGACGGGTGGGGGCCTACTTCACCATATTGTTAGTCATGCGGAACGTTTCACAGACCCAGACGTGTGTGTTGTCTTGTATATGCTGGCATGCAAGGATGTTGATGTGGATCTCCAGGACAATGCTGGGGAAACTGCCCTGCATAAAGTCGTTAGAAAAAAAGGAGCGTTCAGGATTATGCAGATGCTGCTGAGGTAAGTCATCTGGAAAACCTTTTTGAGATGTCTATATTGTTGAGGACGTGAAAAAAGTGTATTCGTGTTCACTACGTAATTGGCTAGGACCCATCTCTGCTTGTACTCAAAAAGGGAGATTTACTCAGACCTGCAGACTTGCATTTATTCATCGGATGAAGTTTACACACCTGTGGCCTTTGACTGTCAATATAAGGCACAGAGCCTTACAGGTGAGGTGAAACGGATCCGTCACAAAGTCTTACAATTAAAGGTTATATTTTGAATATAATATAACAAAGTATCGATAAACAACACATATACGCAAGACTTTGATGGTATTCAAATTGACTTGTCAAGCGTTTTGCTTTATTGTCAAGCATATGTAACTTTAACTTTGATACTCGAATATTCAGAGCGCGTGACACAGTATTGAAATGCGTCACCACCAAAATATGTCGTCCATGGATCGTAAACCCTTGGGGTAAGTCTCACCCTCGATAAAAAACATGTAACACGTGACATCCTCGGGGCCTCACGAGGATATCAAGGAAGTACGTTGCCATAGTAACGAACATAAGTATTTCAGCAGTTCTGATCAACAATTTAGGGAAATCGATTTATGCACGAAGCAGGTAGATTTATTGACAAAGTTTTTAGACTAAATAGGTTTCAACTTATTCAACAAGAGAATCTTTCAAATACCAGCCGAGGTTTAGTGTAGCGCTAAAAACTAATTTGTATTAATTATATTATCTTTTTTTAGTTTTTTATGTGCATCTTGATGACAGCAGTCTGTAAATATCGAGTCTGGATCAGACAATCCGGTTACTGCCATCGATCTATGCAATTGGGAAGCGAAGACATTCAATCAGCCAAATCACCGAGTCTAATTACCATCGATTTCGTCGCCTGTTACGAACAGCATGGGTTGATCGGGGCCAATTCTAACACGGATACCTCACGGGGTTATGTAACAACGAACTATTAGCAAAAGCAAAAATCCACAAACAAAAGGAACTGTGATCCCGTCAAGATATTCACAACTGAACATTAAGAATAATTATTATGACATGGATTATGTGGATTTACGGACAGATACAATTCTAACTGCGTACACAAGAAAACCGCTTGTCACAACAAGGGAAACATGAAGCCGATTGATTGATATGGGGATTAAGAAAGAGTCGCACATCAAATTGTCTGACTCTCTGAAACTGGTGAATATGTCTTTGGAGAAATAACGAGATATTTCGCCATGATTTGTGTAAAGAGCACACACATTGCTAGGCAGAATTGGAATTATGTTTTAAATTGGTTTTACATTTAATTTTTCAAAAATTCGAAACCATTACAAAGCATGTATGGGTCCATTTCTAGCCCACCTATACCGCACTATATTTAAGATTTTCAAAGAAAAACATCTAGAGCGGATTATTTGCTTCTTATAATTCACAAAATGAGGTTCGATTTCCTTCGTGGGTATAATGAACAATCTTTGTGTACCTAGATGAAGATGAAGATGAAGACGTGATGTGATGAAAACAGCCGACACTCTCAATCACTCACTTAGCATCCCTCTGTCATCTACTTTAGTTTGTTGGTTTGTTGTTTAACGCTTCACTCAGCAATATTCCAGCTACTAGTATATGACGGCGGTCTGTAAATAATCGAGTCTGGACCAGACAATCCAGTGATTAATATCATAAGCATCGATCCACGCAACTGGGATGAATGACATGCATCAACGAGCCTGCATCTACTTTAGACACAAGTAGATTCTGGTTTTATCATAACCCAAACACTTACATGCATCGTAATCCGATTCCGCGGACTGATGAACTTAAATAAGTATTTGAAATTAAAAACCGTGATGGACGTGCTGTATCAAATTCAGTGTGTTGATCGTTGTGCGTGATGCACATCCTAAATGTATGCCACTAAATACATTATTCATTCTTCGGCATAACATATTCAGTCTCCAGACACAGATTCGCTCTATTTATTCTGGCAACTGTGTATAATTGCCTACTACAGGTAGATTCTAATATGAGTCCACACATTTCATCCTCCGCCGGGGCATAATACAACATGAGAGAGACAGAGTCTATATTACCTAGGTATAGGCAGCGGCAAAAAGACAACATGGGAATTGATACTAAAGAGAAATATCAAATTTCGGGAAAGTTACCTCAAAACATACTCTAGACCAGACAATCCAGTGATTGATATCATGAACTACGATCCCTGTAATCTGGGTATTTAAGCACTTTCAATGAACCTGACCACCTGTTAAGTCACCTGTTACATCCATTCCTTCAATTCTTCTGTCATGTAACACCATTCCTTCAATTCTTGTCATTTAACGTCATTCCTTCAATTCTTCTGTAATTCAAACACCATTTCTTCAATTCAGAGGTTTTAACCATAAGCCGCGGTTTAAAGACAGTTAACGGAACCAGACAAACAATGCACGCATGTAAACAAAAGCATAAAAGTCTCTATTTCATTTGGTGTTGATATATAGTGCACCAAAGTGAACTGACATCACTGAAATGCTACAAATGACATTTCGGCCCTTTCATTAGTTGTGTACAATGTTTGTAATAATTCAGTGCTGGGTGCATCGTCAACGTTGAATGTTCGGTCAACAGTGAGTTCTATTCCTTAAAACACGTATGAAAGACGTTTGTTTTACTCCCTTGGGCCTATGCAAATTATTACAAACACCCAATTCGGACATGACAAAGATGTATTTAACGAATAGTCAGTTACTCTGAACCCAATTTTAATCAAAATATTATTTATGCGAATAACGAACTTCAAGTTGACTGCACATTCTCTACAAGCGTTAATGCTATGTAAATATCAGTTTCAAAGTGTCAAGTCAAGCATTGTGTTGTAGAACAATTTACCTATGGGGCCCAGTTCCACAAAGCGAATTTAGCGTTAAGGCGGTATTAACTCCTATTCTTTAGTGTTGGCGTACGATAATCGTAGTGCTAAGACCGCTCAGGATACTGGGTCCATGTCATTTATATTTTCCTATCACAGGGTGCCACCGGTGGGTAATTAGATGCTCCCCTTTTCGTGAACACCCAGTGTCATAACTCTATGATAGTGACTCGTAATCGCATGCTTGTGATACGGTCGGAATCACACAATGGGTTTCTTATGATTCTGGAAAGGGTTTGTCGCCTTTATTTATATATTTCTACGTTACCATATTTTCCTCACTTAATTAAGAGGACCGCCTCCGTGGTCTAGTGGTAGAGCGTCCGCCCGGAGAGCGGAAGGTCCGGGGTTCGATCACCGACCGCGTCATACCAAAAGACGTTAAAAGATGGTACTTGTTGTTACCCTGTCTGGCGCTCGGCATTAAGGGGCTAAAACAAGGACTGGTCGGCTCGGAGTCAGTATACTGTGTCTGAGTGGGGTATTCATGTTAAACTGCGGCATGGTATCTCAGTGAGCTAGCACTATAAATCGGCATCAGTCCGGACTAGTACAAGCAGCCACACACACATACATACACGTGCATGCACGTCGCTATATAAGTGCAATAATCTTGGACGCGACGTTAAACCCCATTTCACCTCACCTTAATTAAAAAAAAATACACGAACAATCGTTAACCCACAGAATATCAACAACGATTTGGTCAAGTCACTGCAGTAAAACTGCAGTAAAACATAACCTCAAATTCATTGTTGAGCAGATATTTCTTATGATTATGGAAAGGGTGTTGTCGCTTTTAATAAGCATATTCTTGTTGATTTTTACATGGAATTTTCATATTTCAATTTGGAATACATGTATGTGTCTGTGTATGTGTATGTTAATATATTTTTTCAGGTTGTAATACGTTTTTACACTATTTGTACAAATCACATCTTGAACTGTTTGCGAGAACGCATCGCCTCTCATTATGATACCCTTCGATTTTGCATTTTCTTGAAGTGAAAACATTTTCACCACGATCTTATTGAAATAAGTAAACACACCTGAAGCAAATGTTGAACGTGTGTAAACTGTTATTTCGAAACAGACATGGCGACGTCGTCTAACACCTTGTGTCTGTAACGTACACAGTAGATACTCTTCACTATGGGCGAACTCATTAGACTCCAGCACTATACAAGCAGCATCGCTACAGGTGATGAACACTTAACGACTGTTGACACGTCAGCGGACAATTATGTCAAAGACGTTAAATATACGACCATTGTTACTTTTTTTAAAAACACTTATGCTTCATCGGCTTTGAATACTTGAGCAGCGGGGGAGAATGAAATAGGCGAGCGACCATGCGTGTTTATTTTTAAAAATGCAGACTTCGCATTTACAGAACAGTTGAAATACTCCTTATTATTATGCATGTAGACATTATATTCTTGAGGGTCGTAAAAATGCAGACTTCGCATTTTCAGAACAGTTGAAATACTCCTTATTATTATGCATGTAGACATTATATTCTTGAGGGTCGTGCAAAGAACAACATTATTCGTCGCTATGGGTTCGAGTTATGGCTTTAGGGGTGGATGCAACATACAATATATGACCAATACACAACACATGGCTCCAGCGCTGTGTTTTAATGTTACCCGATTGGATTGTGTTAGTTATGAACCCGGTTGGAGTATATCGAGGACAAAGCGTCGCTTGTGTAGGGGCGGTGTTACTCGTCGGAACAAACAGCCTTTGTCAGAAAAGACTAAAATACCTCTCGGCGACCCCACCCGCCTGCAGCGAGGCAGACATACAGAGCAAGATATGATCGTTCATCAAATGTGGAGATAAAGCGTCTTTGTTAAGCGGAGCACATGCATATTGACAAGCAAGCCTCAAAATATGATGGATGATGATGAATTGAAGAGGTTGTTTGGTAAGCTAACTGTTCATGGTCCGTATTTGTAAGTGCACACTGGGAACAAGATTTGTATATAAGGAGGAATTGTGTTTATATTCGATTTACTGCAAATGTAAAAAATTAAATAAAATGTCCTCACTGGCTCTGTAAC